ATGAGGAACATTTAATTTTTGGTGTTAAGCAATCATGTAGGGGACTGTTAATTTGAAGTTTCTTATAAATAAATAGTTCAAATCAAAATATATAATTTTATAACAACATCTGTGTTTCTTTGATTTGAGTCCGCCCTACAAATCATCTTTAAAAACTTATATATACTATGCGTTGAAAATTTATACAGAAACTGCGGCCCATATCGTTTTTTTTTTGTTTTTTTTTTTTTGAAAGGCAACATGCACTGGCTATATAAAAGATCTCCCATGGTTTGTGATCATATGATTTATTAAACCATGAGTTGTGTGGTCTTGTTCTCGAGCCTTAGCGAGGGGATAAAACACATAACCGGTTGGATAAAAATTATACCTAACCATAAACTATGAGAGATTCTTTTATCACATGTGTTACACAGTTTTGTATAATTACATGTATGTAAATCCACCATATTTGGACTTGATCAAATTCACGCACAAACCATAGCGACGTCACAACAGATGTATGTAAGTCCATTATATTTGGACTTGATCAAATTCACTCAAAAACCATTGCGACGGCAGAACAGGGAATATGAAAAAGATATCCTTAGAGTTATATGCATAAAGGAGTGAACATACGATAAAATGGAGTATTCAGCAATAGTTTACTAAAAAGGAGAAATAGGAACATTCAACTCTAATAAACTGGAAAGTATACATACATGTAAGGGTGTAAAACAGGGGCCAACTGCACAAAAATATAGGAGTATCCAACAATGGACAACTGAATTTAAAGGAGAGTTTAACACTGGTCATCTATATGCATATAGCAGTATTTAAAAGTGGCTTACTATATCCAAATGAGTAAGCCGCTCGTAAAAAATCACTGAATTGTAAATTGACGTTATTTGACAACGAATAGTAAACTGAATACTGTTATTGAATTCTCATTAATAGTCTTTTATTAAGCAGATTAGATTGGAGCATCTGTGCATGCACATGTTTTCTACATTTCTCATATATATACTTTCTCATAGTGTCTCACAAAATATACCTTAGTGATAGATATCACCATTTTGAATTGAAATATGAAAGAGATACAACCATTTTATCATTAGCCAATCAAAATTCAGTTCGTTTGCATAGTTACATGTTCTTTGCATTCTTTTGTTAGAATCGCAATGCCGGGGAATATAATGTATTTCCGATTATTATTAAAAAATATATTTATAGAAATGCTGCATTATTTCAAATCTGTCAAAATAATAGTTTTTGATAAATAAATAGTGATTGGTTTTTACCTGACTGTAATGTAATGGCAGCTGCTGAAGCAGCCAGAAAAGAAATGTTACTCGTAATAAGATAAATGCTGTCTTTCTTATCTCTCCTTTTTCCTGTTATTTTTTTTTTCTTCTTCCTGGTCTAAAGGGGGTATTCAAATATCCGTTGCAGTCATCTACTGATTTATTGTACATTAGATTTCTAAATTCAATTGACAGACAGAGGACTCATGGTGTGGTCACTAAGTAAACAGACTTTATGTAATAATTGTATTTAAAAATCCCTACCATGCAACGTTAGCATTAAAATGTAGACCTGTGCTTAATGAAACACATCATTGAATTTTCATTGTTTATGATTAAATGGATTACAAACACGTTTTAAAAAGTAATTTAGAAAGCTTTCTTATCTGTATTGTTCTCTGTCATGCATATAGTAGTACGTAAACACGAGTGAAAAATTGAATATAGCGCATTGAGGATTTGTAAACCAAGTAAATAAAAAACTTAACTTGAGAAAAAGTTACCCAAATCTTCGTATGCAGTATTGAGAATGATGTCCTAGTGTAAATCCAAATAAAACCGCATCTCAAGGAAAGATAACCCGACATCAGAAGTCTCCTGTCAGTTTATGACCGAAAAGTTTAAATAAATTAGTGATCCAAAATCACCCCCTCCTGAGGAGGTGAGGGAAGATTTGAACAAACTTGAAGCTACACCAAATATGTTTCAATATTTCTTTCACTGCTTTAAATCCTGGACCTTCCGATCACGAAGCGAGAGTTTTACCGATTGGTCTTGAGAAGATTTGTAAAGATGTTCCCATACATTCCTATGTAAAACTTTGATCACCCATTGTTGCTCTCCCCTATCCACATTATCCAGATTTGAACAAACTTCAATCTACACAACCTGAGGATGCTTCCATACAAATATGACTTATCATGCGCTTTGCTGATCTTGAGAAGAAGACTGGCCACCTACATTTATTCTGACCCTTTCGACCTCAAGGGATCTAGATTTGGAAACTTTTGAATCAACGTTACCTGAGGATGCTTCTGAATTTATAAGAAATAAATTACTAAATAATGATTTGCCGTTTTTGAGAAGATTTTTAAAGATTTTTTTCCTGTGTAAAATTTCGATTGCCTATTGTGGCTCGCCCTTACCTGGTGGTCATGATTTGAAAATAATTGAATCTACACTACCTGAGATGATTCCATATAAATATGACTTATCATGGCTTTGCTGTACTTGAGAAGAAAATGTTTAATTATTTTTCTATGTCAAATTTTATCGCCCATTGCAGTCAGACCATACTCTCATACCATACTCTCGGTGAGTCATGATTATAACATGCTTGAATCTATACCATGAATATGACTAATTACGGCTTTCGTATTCTTGAGAAGATGTATACCTATGATAACTTTAAATTGCCCATTGTGGCCCCGCCCTACACATGGGGGTCATGAATCTACATTAAATTGAGAATGCGTCTACACGTTTCATTTTTGTAGTCCAATGGACCTTGAAATGAAGATATTTAAAAGACGCAATTAGTTTTTCACTAATTCGTAATTATATCCTCTCAGAAAAAGGAGTGACCTTCATTTTAATAAATTTGAATCCAATTTACGAAAGGACACTTTGTAGCAAGTTTGGTTGAAATATGCCCTGTGGTTCTTGAGAAAAAGTCGAAAATATGAAAAGTTAAGAGACAGACAGACAGAAGGACAGCTAGGCAGACGGAAAGAAAAGGAGACGTTGAGACTTTTTCACTAAGCCCCCCTCCCCCCCCCCCCCCATACACATGGGATATATGAGTAAAATGAAATTTAAACAATTGAACAAACTAAAATGTGATTATGAACAGTAATGAAAAGCAAAAAGATGTTCGATATATAGTAATATACATTACTGACAGTTGTTAGAAACATTTAATGTTTATACAGTAGAAAGTTCAGGTTTGAAATTATTTAAAAACAATTTTGCTTATTCTTTTAGTTTTTATACATCAGATGTTTCCTTCAAATCATAAAAGAAAAATTATGTTTGTATTAATAAATAGTTTTATAACTATATTTATTATAAATATGAATAATAAATAAATATTTCTACCTATAAATTTCTGTTTTTCATTCTTAAGAAAAGGACACTTCAATAAATGATGAAACTCATCACCAAGTTAATATTACAGGATCTGTCCATACAATAAAATCTTCAATTGTCAGATACATAAAATCAATTTTCCCTTTGAATTTCTTTTGGATGAATTCGGAGATGGCGTATTTACGGTGAAGGTTTTCTACTTTCATCTACATGTCAAATGTCATGAGAGAATGTTGCAGGGTAGATTTAGTCACTTTCAACTTTGATTTCAGCAAAATAATTGTTAATTTTATCCAGTTGTTTCTGTAGAGTATGCAACTGTTTGGTCTTCCTTTTCAAAGCTTTGGTTTTAAGATTTCTGACGACCTCGGGAATCATTTGGTGCCATTTTTCTCCATGTTTTACTTTTTTTATAGAAATTTTCGTAATCAACATCTAACTGCTTCTTTATATTTTATTCATCTAGGTAGATTGTATAAATTGTATCAAATATTTTATTACCTTGCACCTTTTTCTTTTCTTTTTATTCCCCCCCCCCTTTTTTTTTTTTTGATGATTTTCAACAAACTTTGACCCGCATGCAGTTCAGATTGAATACACTTAATGCAGGATGGGACATCACAATATATAATTGCAGTACAGAAAGTATTGTTCTTTGTCATGAGAAGAACATTGAGAGTAGAATGGACTTGGTCTTTTGAAAAATAAAATTCACAATTTGCTGTTTTTCTGGGATTCAGCGGTTCTTATATGCTCTCCAATACAGATTTTACACAGATTAATGTGCCATATATCGCAGTATTCCGAATCAGTCTTGCATTAGTTACATCTTTTGAACTCTATGTTATTCACAACATTATATAAAAGATGCGTATGGCTTTATTTGACGAATGGGCAGGTTAATTGGAGTCTATTCTTATATTCAATGATAATTGTGAAAATGGGCAGAATTAAGAAATATAATGGAGAGCATAGGATTTATATAATTATGTGATGCTTGCTATATCTTTTGCTTATGGTAAATTGGATTTTGTATAAATTACTGTTTAGCGATATACTTTTACAAGTTTGGTTATCAGTTGTTTCAAAGATAAAAACTATCTTGAAAGATTTTCTTTCATTAAATTTAATTGAACCATTTAAATTATCAATGGTTCAATGTATCAAGTGCAGGTCCTTAGGGGTAACAAAGAAGTGAGTTGCTTAATTTATTAATTCAGCTATATATTTTACAGATTCATTTATTTAGCTTCAGTTTATTGATGTCTTCAAACAAATGGCTCATCAGATTGCAAACAATGCATTTTACTTTCAAGAGGTTTGGACACAGATTTGAAGTTAAAACTTTCTAAAATTTTCTGTACAATATCATGACTTATTTGTTTCTAGGGTATTTCAGACTGATATGTTGATCTAGATGAGAATTAAAATTTTGTAAATTGAGATACATAAATGTTTTTTTTAATGTGAATAGATCTTTTTTTTTAGCATATTGGATGACGGAGTAGCCTGGTTCCGGCTTATCCATAATGCTCCTACTGTGCGGAGCTTTATGGGTAGGCCGGACCCAGGCTAATGACGAAGTCTACAACTGCCATCATTATATGTTTTAAACGTGGGATGTGACATTCACTGTTGATATTTGATTTTCTTTACTTGTCTCTCGTAACATTCAGTGACAAACAGATTGTCATATGTATCTATACATAATCCCCAAGGATGAAAAAGTTCACACTCTATGAAACAAAGGAATTGTCCATCCTGATCTATGATGTGGATACAATTATTTTCACAGTCAGCTGCAAGAATGTGACTTTGACTATCTGTGGTAATACCATGTAGATCAAATGGATTGCTCTTTGAACAAGATTTATTACCAGTGTACCGGAATCTCGGTTTCCCTTCAGAATTGACCACCACTAATGCATTAGCGCTTGTGTCAGCAACACATATATCTCGGTTCCTATTTTCAATGATGTATTTGATTTCACCATATAAGTAGATAGGCTTACCATCATCATCAAGCTGAATGGTTTGTTTCTCTCTGTAGTCAGAATAACGGACGACTTTTGATGGTTTCTTATCCTCGCTATACATGGTAACCAGTAAGTCACCAGGGGAGATACTACAGACTCCGAGGGGTAACCAGTTCTGTAGTCTGATCACTGTGACCATCTCACCATTCTTTAAAATATTCACAGTTCTGTCTTTACGATCAACATAAATGAGTTCTCCTTGTTCTGTCACTGCAATGCCACTTGGGCACTCTCCTGACTTGGTTTGGGTTGACTTTAAAGATGAATCCATGTTTACGCTGAAGAGTTTCATGGTGTTCTCATCTCCACTAGTCCAAATTTCCTCGTCATTGCGACATACAACATTAAAAAGATTATACTTGTACGCAGTCATAATGATAGCGATAGTCTCTGGTTTATCGAGTAGCTGTTTGATTAGAGGAGAGGATTCATCATCTGATGATTTCTGTGTTTTCTTCAAACTGTAACCATGTTCTTCGGGAACTAAAGACATTGGCGACAATGCTCCAAACAGCTTATTGAATTCTTCCTGTTCGAATTTCTTATGGGTGAATAAAGGTAAACATGGAATTATCCTTGGGGGAAGATGTTTATAGTCATCTACATTGGATTTCACACTAAGTGGGTTTGAAATTTCGTAAGAGTCCACGGCAATATCGATTGAATGAATTTCATCTTTAATTTCAGTAATTCTCTCGTGGATTTTATCCCGGTGTTTCTGAAGAGTTTGTAGCTGTGTTGTTTTCATCTCATTGGCTTCGGTTTTAAGTTTTTTGACTACATCGACAATTCCTTTACACCAGTCATCTCCATGTTTTGTTATAGCTGTTGCGAGATCTCCGTATTCCTTTTCTAACTGCTTCATCATATTTTCTACATCATTTTCAATGTCATGGTAGGTAGGATAAATTGTTTCATTTAATTCATTTCCTTCTTTGATGATATTCTCTTTCTTTTCATTCAGAATTCGCAAAATGCTCTCAATCTTATGACCCAAATGGTGGTCAGATATAATGCAGCTAATACAGACGGGAACATCACATTGATTACAGTACATTTCACACCGTTTTTTGTCATGGAATGTACATCCAGGACAAAGGAGAGTGGATTGTCGAAACGTAAATTTAACAATTTCATGTTTTTTGTTGGATTCATCAGACATTGTGTGTTCTCCAACACAAGCCTTGCATAGGCTAAAAAGGCATGTATCACAGTGCATTTGCACCATGTTAGTCTCACACATGTTGCAACGCAAAATGTCCTGGGCAATTTTGCGCCGGGCCATGACTCGACGTTTGCCTATGATATATATAAAAACGCCTTCTTAAACAATAAAATACTATAACTATAGTTAAGCATAGTGATAACTTTAATACTTTGATTAACTTTAATGATAACTATGAAAATTTTGATTCACGATAGTGATCACTTTGATATTAAAGTGATAATTTTGAAAACTTTCAATTACTACAATGAACACTATGAAAATTTTGATATACCATAGTATACACTTCTATCATAGAAAATTATATACAATAGTAATAAATTTTATACTTTGCATGACTGTTGCTATATCAATCCTAAAACTGATAAATTTGACACTTTGATTAACATGTGAATAAAATATTTCTTTGAAAACATACTACATCGAAAACAAAGTATAGAAGCTGAATGTAAATTATGAAAAAAAAGTACACAATCATTCATTTGGGAGAGTTTAAAAAGACTTTCCCACAATAGAATTGATCTGACTATAATTTCGACAAAAATCAAGAATAGAATCTACACTAAAACCTTGTTCGGTAACCGAGTTAAAATTAAATTCGTTGAAAAAAGAACAAAACAAAACCAATTGATTCAAAGTAATGTAAGGAAGGGAAATTGACTTAAATGTTGAGTTGAATTTTGTAAAGCGTAAACTCCATAGACCAAGCTTATACAGTGTACATTGTAAAAGCTATTAAATTCATTCTTTATTTGATTAATACAAAATTGTTGACTCTCAGTTCAATTCTTTGTAGCTGTGGAGAAAAACCCTTAAGTTTCTTATTTACATGTACCTAGGTAACGTACACTTTATCGTTTTCACTGCCTAAAATTTCTACACGGGATATCACTCTAAGAAAGGATGTATTCCCTTTCGTATTACGTCATATTTTGAACTATCCTTAGCTTTATTCTATGACGTTCTTTCACTCGCTTTCCCCTGATAAGTTGAAAAAAATACAACAACGATTAAATATTTATTACCCAGGGGATTTCAAAAATTGCCATCCAATCAAATTGCAGTATAATATTTGAATTAGTGAAATCCATGCCCTGTGCTTTCTGGGCTTAAAGGTATTCAAAGTATAGTGAGGGGATATTAAACAACTTTGAATCATTTTGAACTAGTTGAATTGTTTTGCTTGATAATGATGAAAGTGAAAATAAAGCAAATCCACATGATTGATAACATATACGAAGCCGGCCATTTTGCACTTAAAACGTTTTTGGAAAGTTATCTGCCTTTGATGAAAACAAGAAAATTTTAATTTTGTCAAAATATCTGTGGTAAATAATTCATTTTATTTCATATTTCAATATAGGGAGAATTTATGCATATTTTCACCAAGAGATTTGTATGACGTTCAAATTACCTTTTTGAAAATCTTAATAACACATGCGCTGCCCTTAGAATTCAATGTAAAATTAAAGGTGCGATTATTTGGAAAATAATCAACATCTTGTACATTCCTTTAGTAGAGTATTTTTATATGATTACACCCTTAAAATCTTAACAAGATTAAGAGGGCTGGGTGGTCGTGGCCATTTTTCGACTATATTGGTCTCCTTTAGAAGAAAAGCTCCATATAAAGATATACAAAAATGATCAAATTTTAAAACTAAAATGTATGATTTTTTTCTTTGCAAAATGATAGTTGACATCTTAAGATATCATATCTAAATAAATAAGTTATATCTGATGGTTAATCTGTTGACCCCCCAGCCTCCTTAAACCTATTTGACCATTCATTTATTAGTTGTATACAGGTTCAAAACATAGCTTTTAAATACATTGAATACTTTAATTCTGCTCATATGCTTCCCTAGCTTCACATAATCTGTTTAAAGCTAATTACCAAAAAACTTAATACAAAATAAATAGGTTTCCAACGCTCAAGAGCGCGCCAATTATAAATGAGATTTAATTAGCACTAAAGAGTCATTAAAATGAGGAACATTTACAAACATACGTTTAAAAGTAATTCAGAAAGGTTTCTTATCTACACTGTCCTCTGTTACACATATAGTAGTAGTACACAAGATTTAATTAATACTAAATAATATTTGAAATGAGGAACATTTAATTTTTGGTGTTTACCTATCATATAAGAGACTGTTAATTTGAAGTTTCTAAAAAATAAATAGTACAAATCAAAATATATTAATTTTATAACAACATCTGTGTTTCTTTGATTTGAGTCCGCCATACAAATCAGCTTTAAAAACTTATATATATTATGTGTTGAAAATTAATACAGAAACTGCGGCCCATATCGTTTTTTTTTTTTTTTTGAAAGGCAACATGCACTGGCTATATAAAAGATCTCCCATGGCTTGTGGCCATATGATTTCTAAAACCATGAGTTGTGTGGTTTTGTTCTCGAGCCTTAGCGATAAAAATTTACCTAACCATAAACTATGAGAGATTTTTTTTATCACATGTGTTACACAGTTTTGTATAAATACATGTATGTAAATCCACCATATTTGGACTTGATCAAATTCGCCCAGAGACCATAGCGACGTCACAACAGATGTATGTAAGTCCTCTATATTTGGACTTGAACAAATTCACTCAAAAACCATTGCGACGGCACAACAGAGAATATGAAAAAAAAGATACCTTAGAGCTATATGCATAAAGGAGTAAACATACGATAAAATGGAGTATTCAGCAATAGTCCACTAAAAAGGGAAAATAGGAATTGCAACTGTAATCAACTGTAAAGTAAACATACATATAAGGGTGTAAAACAGGGACCAACTGCACACAAAATATAGGAGAATCCAACAATGGCTAACTGAATTTAAAGGTACGTTCAACATTGGTCATCTATATGCATATAGCAGTATTTAACAGTGGCTTACTATTTCCAAGTGAGTAAAAAAAAATCACTAAATTGTAAATTGACGTTATTTGACAACAAATTGTAAACTGAATACTGTTATGGGATTCTCATATTCTTTTATTAAGCAGATTAGATTAGAGCATCTGTGCATGCACATGTTTTTTTTTTTTTGATTTAAATTTCTCATATATACTTTCTCATAGTGTCTCACAAAATATACCTTTGTGATAGATCGCCCGCGTGTTGCAGTGGTTAGAGCATTCGCTCTAGAGTGGCGGAGTAAGGACTTGATCCTTACGTCGCGGGTTCGAATCCCACTGTGGGACGTGGAGACCGGTCCTTCTGATGAGACCGTATAAACCGAGGTCCCGTGTCACAGTATGTGCTGGCACGAAAAAGATTCCTCACCGATCAAGGGTCCTCAGTGCCGAGTATAGGTCAAAAATTTGCAGCTCTCCACCGGCAAGTGATGGCCTCTCCATATGAGTGAAAAATTCTCGAGAGGGACGTTAAACAATAAAAAAAACAAACAAACAAAACCTTTGTTATAGAAATCACCATTTTGAATTGAAATATAAAAGAAATACAACCATTTTATCATTAGCCAATCAAAATTCAGTTCATTTGCATACATGTACATGATCTTTGCATTCTTTTGTTAGAATCGCAATGCCGGGGAATATAATGTATTTCCGATTATTATTCAAAAGTATAGATATAGAAATGCTGCATGATTTCAAATCTGTCAAAAATATATAGTGATCGGTTTCTACCTGACTGTACTGCAATGGCAGCTGCTGAAGCAGCCAGAAAAGAAATGTCGCTCGTACTAAGATAAATGCTATCTTCTTACCTCTCTTTTTTCCTGTTATGAGTGTTTTTTCTTCCTAGTCTAAAGGGGGTATTCAAATATCCGTTGCAGTCATCTACTGATTTATTGTACATTAGATTTCTAAATTCAATTGACAGACAGAGGACACATGGTGTGGTCACTAAGTAAACAGACTTTATGTAATAATTGTATTTAAAAATCCCTACCATGCAACGTTAGCATTAAAATGTAGACCTGTGCTTAATGAAACACATCATTGAATTTTCATTGTTTATGATTAAATGGATTACAAATACGTTTTTAAAAGTAATTTAGAAAGCTTTCTTATCTGTATTGTTCTCTGTCATGCATATAGTAGTACGAAAACACAAGTGAAAAATTGAATATAGCGCATTGAGGATTTGTAGACCAAGTAAATAAAAAACTGAACTTGAGAAAAAGTTACCCAAATCTTCGTATGCAGTAGTGAGAATGGTGTCCTAGTGTAAATCCAAATAAAACCGCATCTCAAGGAAAGATAACCCGACATCAGACGTCTCCTGTCAGTGTATTACCGAAAAGTTTAAATAAATTAGTGGTCCAAAATAATCCCCCTCCTGAGGAGGTGAGGGCAAGATTTGAACAAACTTGAAGCTACACCAAATATGTTTCAATATTTCTTTCACTAATCAGTGGCTTTAGAAGACTTTTAACGATTTCTGCTATATGTTTTATCTTCAATTGTTGCACTCAACTATTGTTGCCCTCACTTGAATTTACACAATTTGTGGATGCTTCTGGATTAATATTACTAATCAATGCCTTACAATGCCAATACCTTAAATGATCTTTCTTATATATTCCTTTGTATAACTTTAATCCCCTGTTTTGCCCCTCTCTACCCCTGGGGGTCTTGATTAGAACAGATTAAAAACTCTGTTTACTGGTGATGCTTCGATATTAATTTTCTCTTCTTGAGAAGATAAAGACTTTAAAAGATTTTTTTTTCTATATTTCCCTATGTAAATCTTTGATTGCCCATTGTGACGCCACCCTTGCCCTAGGGATCACGATTTTAACAAACTTGAACCTACAATTCCTAAGGATGCTTCCATATGCATGTAAATTTGACTATTCATAGCTGTTCTTGAGAAAATATTTTCCGATGTAAACCTATGTAAAACTTTGATTGCCTATTGTGGCACCTCCCTAACCCCTGGGTGTCAGAATCTGGACAACATAAATGTACATAATTTTAGGATGGTTCTATATTACTATGACTACATATGTATTTGTCATTCTCGAGTAGAATGTTTT